TAATTTCCTTGGGATCCGCACCGATAAGTTTCGCAATGTGGCCTCGAGCCTCCTCGACCGCTTCCTCACTTTCCCATCCGTATGCGTGCGTTCTCGAATGGGGGTTTCCGTAGATACCAGTCATGAACGGTAACATGGCATCGAGGACGCGAGGGTCGACGGGAGTCGTGGCTTGCATGTCGAGATAGATGGGCCGCTGGCCCTCCTCCATCGTAGTGACTTGCTTCAGGACCTCAGCCATGGGGCTAACCATGACATTTGAAGCATCGGGAGACTGAGGGACAACATCGATGAAGTCTTTCTTGTCAAGCTTGATGGCCGTTTCGATGTTAACCTGTGCATTATCACGTTTCGTTTCCGAGACGTATCTGCGCTGCTGAGATAATCTGTGGGTTGGCGCAACCGCCACCCTTGATAATGAGGAAATGCCTCGTGAGGGAACACCCGGCACCTGCGTATAGCGGCAAAGGCGACCTGCCTGCCTGAAGGCGGATGATGTGATGCTAGCCATGATGTGTTTGATGTTGATGGCGTAGGGAAGAAGAGGGACGCGAGCTTCAGGGAGAGGAAAAGGAAGAGAAATTCTAGAAAGAGGAGAAGCTACCCTACTCAGGATGGGGGTAGTTTTTTTTCGTGACAAATTGCATCGGAGACCGCCTCGGGGTCGGGGATAAACACACGGGCCGTGATTGGCCAGATCGGTAGGATGACGTTCCCTATTCAGCTGCAGTCCTTTTTGGGAGGCGGTTTCGGCTACGGCACCTGTCAGGACCGACACCCCCGAAAAAGCAGCAGCCCAAGATTGGGCCGCGCCTCGTAGGGTCAAGAAGCACAGGCGGGCGCGGCAGAGAAGCCGAAGGTTGCAAAGGGACGGTCCCTACCTGGTCCTTACCTTCCCATGCCATGATGTGCCTTACCTAACATGCCCTTACTCAAGGATGATTAGCTAAACAAAACGTAAACGGGCAGGCCTCCCAGGACTTGGACAAAGTGAATTGGGTCTTTGCTGAAATGCTGAATGCGGCCGGACTGGGGACGAGGATCTTTGCAGAGACGGGCTCTCGGAGTCGCCCTGCTCTTCCACCGCTTTCGCCGCGACCGAGCAAGTGTATTCCACTTGCCTTTCTTCCTTTTGCATTGTTCAATTTCCCAAACCGAAGCTCCGAATATCCTCAAGTCCATCCCCTTCCTTCTCTCCAACCCTTTTCTGAGATTCTTTTTCTCATCCACAAATCGCAGCGTCATCATCGCGAAACATCTGTTTCCCACGTCGCAGTGCTCCGTTCTTCCCGCTGACCCCGCCAGGCACCTACTTTAGGTACCTTAGCTTCTGCATAGTAGCGCCTTAGCTCCTGTCTTTCGGCACCTCATGCGCCACAGCCAAGCGACACTGCGCAGAAGCTGACTGACACAGCCACGCCTACGTCGTCACCAGCGACAATCAGGTTGCGAGAGCCCACACCTCATAAGGTTGGACGTCGAATACCCTCAACTTTCAAGCAGCGACGACCCTCGTCAAAACCTTCAGCCTACGATACCACCTTCTCTGCCCTTTATTGGCACGAACTTTTCAAGTACCTAATCCGATACATCACCACCACAAAATCACCCCGCCATGAGCTTCCGGGGCTTCCAGAAAAGCGTCATTCGGGTACGTGTGTCCACTTAATGAGGGGTCCTCCCGTGCCTTCCGCGTGGTGACGTGAAGACGGAACACAAAAATTGGCTGACTATTGATCTCCTTTTCTCCACGACAAACAGGCGCCCCAGCAATTCAAGTCGCGCTTCAATATCGGCGAGCACACAAAGGATGCCGTCTACATCGATTCCGAGCGCAGATTTCAAGAGCTGGAAACCGAGACGAAGCGATTGCACGATGAGTCCAAGAAATACTTCGACGCCATCAACGGCATGCTCAGCCATCAGATCGAATTCAGCAAGGCCATGACCGAAATCTACAAACCTATTTCCGGTCGCATGTCGGATCCCGACAGTTTGGAGGTTCGCGGCAACCCCGAGGGTATCCGTGCCTGCGAAGAGTACGAGGCCGTCGTCAAGGATTTGCAGGAGACTCTTGCGCCAGAGTTGGAGATGATAGAAAGTAGGGTTATTCGCCCGGCCAACGAACTCCTCGATGTCGTCAAGGTCATTCGCAAGTCAGCAGCGAAGCGCGAACACAAGAAGCTCGATTACGACCGACACAGACAAACCTTGAAGAAGCTGCAGGACAAGAAGGATCGGAATGCCAAGGATGAAAAGGCTCTGTGGAAAGCGGAGAACGACGTGGAGCAGGCGACTCAGGAGTTCAACTACTTCAACGATCTTCTCAAGGAGGAACTGCCGCGCCTGTTTGCGCTCGAGCAACAATTCATCCAACCTCTCTTCCAGTCCTTCTACTACATGCAACTCAACATCTTCTATACGTTGCACGAGAAGATGCAACACTGCGACATCGGCTACTTCGACCTAACGCTCGACGTACTTGAGGCATTCCACAAGAAGCGAGGTGATATTCAAGAGCAGGCGGAGAAACTATCCATTGTGAAGTTCAAGACGACTGGTCAGAGACGTCCGGTAAAATACGGCGGCCGTCCCGCAATCGAGGGCAAGCCTCAACACCTGCTTACCGCTGGACCTTCTTCCTCCTCAGCTGCCTCCACAACCTCAGCAGCGCCCACAAAGTACGGTGGCTACACCAAGCAAGGAGAAACTGCCGACGCGAACCCGCCGCCTCCATACTCTCCTCCGCCCACGAACGGAACTTCTGGTGGAGGACTCGCCGCTATTGCCGCAGCAAAGTCAAAGCCTCCTCCGCCCAAGCCCAAACCCAGCCGACTCAGCGGAGCGCCCGCGGCCGAACATGTCACCGCCTTGTACGACTACGCTGCACAAGCTGAGGGCGACCTGAGCTTCAGGACGGGCGATGTCATCGAGATCATCAGCAGAACAAAGAACGAGAATGAGTGGTGGCAAGGTAGATTGAACGGAAAGACTGGGCAATTCCCAGGTGAGTTTTTGTCACCGGCCAGCACAAACTTGAATAGAGACAAAGACTAACTTTCTCTGCGCAGGGAATTACGTGAAACTGAATTGAGTGGGAGCGACTAATAGAGACTCCCAACCCACCAATAACGATCGACACCTGTGATCTTCACCCAAATACACTGTGCCGCAGAGGCACATTAATGAACAACTGCTAGGGCATCGAAAGGGAAGCGCGAAATACTTGCATTTGGGATCTTCGGCGTACGCAGAAGGGACTGCCCCATTATTTCGAGTCGGAAAACACTTGAGAGAGGAGCCAAGGCAAAGGGAGAGAAAATGAGGGAAACTTGAATGTAGGGGAAGGGAGGAGGGGTGGGAGAAAGGCTGAGGAGAGACGTCGCTTTGCTTTTACCCTGGGAGAAGTGTCCATGTGACACGAGTCTGTTGGTCGCCTCACTTTTATTTCTCCAGGTTTTCGGTGTAGAGAGACCGGCATCGGAGGCGGTGGCATAGCAAAGGATGGCCTTCTGATCCCATACCTACTACGCCTTTTTCAAACGATTCTGCAATTGTTGTGTTGTCAAAAATCACAAGAGCTTTCTCAATTCTGCGAGCATCATCGGCGTGCTGTAAGCATTGCGTGATTCCACATGAGAGAGCTGGCCATTTGCTTTTTGCTGGTTTGTACAGTTCCCAAATGTCTCGTATCAGAAGTACAGGGAGGCGGGGGAGACCCGAGAAATGAGGCTCACTCTCCTCTTGGTATTTCACCCCCTTTTCTTTGAGCCTCGATAAACATGTTCGCTTGCGGCTCAGCCTGCCTATAGCTTCATGTATGATCCCAGCCGGCGGTGGTGTGAATGGCAAGTCTTTGAAGATTGAACAGTCCAGTCGTGGTCCAGGGCGCGCCCTTTTGCATTGAAATTTTCAATTTGAGAAACAGGAGCCTTTTCGGAATCGGCAGGGTGCATAAACAGCACTGGGATATATATGCAAGTTGTCGAGGTCTGGTAGAATTGTATTTACGTATGCATCTATAAGCTGCCGGCCGGCGTGACCTCTTCTTCCCCAGGAGCCCAATACCCATGGAAGCCCGTTGACCCCTGACTCCGAGGGTATCATTGCGTCTTTGGCTGGTCATTAAGCCAGTCTCGGGGCTTGGGACATGCAGCTCGACCCTATCCACCCTTATGTTTTGGTTTGTCAAAGTGCAGATTCGACGTGGGACAACGGGGCGAGGCTCCTTGGGTGAGGCGAGCAGCCTATCGACGGGTTCTGCCTCAATCGGTCTGCTGGTATTTACAACTCCGTCTTTGTATCGGCAATCGACGGGAGAAAAATGGTTGGGTAGGCTAGCTGTCGTTTTCCTGTGGGAAAAGCTTTGTGTAATAAGATCTCAAAAGGAATATCAGCTCCCATGGTAGGTAGTATCGTCCAACGGGAGATCAGCTCCTGCTCAATCCCACACGCCAAGGGTTGGCCTCTCACCTGTCTCGCTGGCTGACTGATACCACTCGAAGTAACAAATGTAAGATACGGAGTAATTAATGAAGATAGAATTAGAATGAGGGTCGGGCTAGCTCGCTTATGGTGAGAGCCCCCCTTGGTAGAAACCGGGGTACTCCGTAGGCAACTCTACACTAGAGTCCCCATCGTGCGAACCACATCCTTCCTGAGCGGGGTGAACAAGGGCTTTTGAGCAGAAAACAAGGCAGCCGACATCCATTCCCCTGTCCAAGTACAAAAGCAAAGAATCCAGGCGGACGCTACTGTGAAGCTCCAGCGGGCTGCCTGCAGTAACTAACGATAGAAGATGGCGCAGGTGTAGTTGTCGTCGGCCGAAAATCTCCGTCCCACAACTTTTCGCGTCTTTGAATGGAGCAAAATACAAAATTTAATGCGGGATCGTCAGCTTGGTAACCCTGTTGAAAAAGTACCAGCATGAGATCTTGCCAGTGAGGGATGCTAGTAAGACGTCTGGAACGTTTGATAGAGCTGCCCGCGGCAGGCTCTCATCAGCAACACCGGCACGGGACCGAGTGATCCTTGCAAAACGCAAAGTTGAAACCAACAGGATTCTCAAGAGCAGATATGGGTTGTAAATATGCGGCCGAGGCTCTTCTTATCCAGGATGGCGCGTCTGGTCTGCCGATGCCCTCCTGCACGTTGGCAGATGTTTGTGACGGGTCAGGATTGAACCCTTCACTAAAGGAAGAGTTTCTCGAACCAGGAGCAGACACCGGCAGGGACTGCGGCGTAGGATAGGGCCCCGAATCTCTCGCATTGTCGACTTCTGTCGCTTTGTGGTTGCAAGGTGGTCTTGTTGGGCCGCCAGGCCACCGAGCGAGTCCGGTAAGCTTAATGGAAGGGTCAAAACAAATGAAGACCAAAGGACGTCTGGTCTGAGGCCCTCTTTGCCCAATAGCGTATACCAATGAGCGCTCGTCCATTACCCCCGAGATGTTACCGAATGTACTCTGGCCTTTGGGACAGAGTATGTTATCCAGTGCGTCAAGGTGCACATTTCGTTGGCTCACGTCAACCTCTGGTGGCCAAGATGAGATCTCGTTAGGCCCATGGGTCTGGTGGGAGACCTGAGCAGAACTGTCAGCTGGTGACTCTTTCGGAACCCGGCCGGTTCCGCTTTGGGAGAAACGAGAAATTGAACGTATTTGCGGTCTTTGCGTCATCGCTTCGGTAGCGACTGGATCATTTACCAGGTCAACGAATGATCCGCAAGCCTGATTATAAGAACGTATAAAACAGTGGCTCAGGGTTATAGTCGGCAATGTTGAGCCGTCATCGCCCCTGTGAGCGTAGGTTGTGTCCTCTTTCTTCTCCAATGAGACTAGCTTAGTAGATGAGCAGCGCGGGGTTGATATATATGCGTTTTGGTGTGTGTCAGCTTCGGTATCTCTGTCACCAGGGTCAACGGGAGGAGTCGCAAAAACGAGTTCCTTTCTGTAGGCTGTTCTCGCGCTGGAAGATTCGTTGACAAGCCATTCTCTTCGGCATTCTGACACCATAATATTTCCCGTGACCAAGTCTTTCGCGAGCTGCAAAGTACTCCATCGATCATCTATCGGCCCGTCTTTGTGATCTCGTCTCAGCATAGATTCTTTCGACGCCAGCTGCATGTCTCCAGGCTGGGTACTGCCGACAGGCAATCGAAAACCGTAATAATATGATAGCGAGTCTGTTTCGTATACTTCGAAACTGTTCAGGCTGGACAAGCCATAGAAATAGCCATCGATAATTTCAAAACAAACGGTGGCTCCGATATCTGAACCAGCTAGGTCTTCGAGATCCAAGTGACCAGGTATCCATTGCTTGGTCTGTAGATCAAATCGTCGTAGGACCCATCGTTTGAAGCCATCATCCCCAGTAACCGAGTGAGTGCCGTAGTAGAGGTAGTCCTGATTGTTACGCACAAATAGCTTAGAGGTTGACTCGAGACGTTGGGTTGTGAGAAGCGTTCTCTTCTCCACGTTGATGATAACCAAGCGACTTCGACCTTCGTTCTTGGGTGGGCTGTAAAGACAAGATAATATTCCATGGGCGAAGTATATTGGACGGAACTTGTACTTATTATTGGCGAAATTCGCCCCCGGAACAGATTGTAGCAGCATTCGGGTATCGATGATGTCCTCTGAGTCCGACGAGGCATGCAAGTTGAGGAGACGCAGCACCTCGTAACTTTCCGTATAGCAAAGCGTGCCATTGCAGTAGATGAAGTCAACTGCATGAGCGACCAGAGCTGTGGTGTATGGCTTGGCAGTGGCGATAGCGTCCTGAAGCTTGACCAGTCGCCGCAAGCAGCGAGCATATTGCTTCGAGGAGCGGGCAGCTAGGAAATCAGCTGAGTACGGCGCATGAGTCTAAGCCACCAAGTCAGCGCGGCTCAAGAATGATTATAATCGTTGCTCCAAGACGATGCTCACCTCCAATGCAGCCCGGCAAATATCGTCATTGCTCACGAGGTACCTGAACTGTCTACAAGCGAGGCTTAAGTTGAATATGTCGTGTAAATTCAAAGAATTTGCGATATAAGTCATAATCTCGATAGGCAGCCTTTGCATTCTTGCAAAGTCGACGGCTGCCATAAACCCGCCTTTCTAGCATTCGGCCAATAACTTGTCGTAAAAGAGCGAAAGATCGAATGCCAAACTTTCATCAGGCAACCGGGGGGTTGTAAATTAGGTAACGTAAGGTAACTTGAGGGAGGGGCGGTCATGTGCGAGACAGCCGGTGGAGGTGATTTGGTGCCACTCAAGACTGAGGCAACTGACTATGAGGCGACCACTTGTCATGCAGGTCGAAATATTCCTCGGGAAAAGCGACTGTTGCTTGTTTTAAGGTGAGTACCCGAGGGGCTCAACCAGCAGAGCCGCACTAGGAATCGGCTTCTATACACGTACACACACCCCTCCCCCCTCTTAGACCCACGAATCGGCCAAGAACATACATTGCCGCTTCCCCTTCTAGATCCAAGACAAATATACCTGTGTTTGTAATATAATCTCTTTGAAGCCAGGCTAGCCTGGCGCCGTCGGACTGGCGTGCAGTCTATCTTGGTAGTATACGGCGACGCAGCAGAAGGGCATGTCTGTTGGGTGTCTCGAAGTATATTACGGGAACCTAGGGTCGTGGAGTCTTCTCATGTCTTTTCATGTGGACTTGTGCAAGAAGAGGGCATGGTAATGTGGCATTATCAGGCAAAGGGCCGAGATGGGGGGGGGGGGGGGGGGGGCGCCCAAGATGTCGTACAGGCTCCATGGCCCCCTTGTATTGGCGAGCCCTGCCGGTCATTTCATCCCTAGTTCGGCAAACTGCAGACTCGAGAATGTGTCGATGTCTCTGTATCAGAGCCTTACCGAGCACGTTCTTTGATGAGCATGCGGCTCAAAAAATACTCGAAATCAGGCTGTCCCCAAAAGATTCCAGGTTGGACCGTACAGGGGTGGAGATTCATCAAGTGCCCCGGTCGAGACTAGCATTCTACACTAGCACCTACATCCCTGATCGCAGCGACGGGTCTTAAGAGGATTCTGCCCAATCATAGGGCTTCAAAAGAGCCTCCATTCTCCTCTTTTCTTGAGACTGACATTCGCTTTCGCCAACACTTTCCTCACCAACTCCCTCATCATCTATTTGTGGTTGCACTGCCTTAACTCAGATGAGCTCTTTGTAACGGTAATCTAGATCCTAGAACCGATGCGGCTCTGCTCTACGACTTTTTTGAAGACCGCGCAGGTTAATGTTCCCTCGTCTTTTGCAATGAACACTCTCCGTGCCTACCTCCTCTATGCGTAAGGGAAGTCCGCCGAAGTCCGTCACTGCTCATATGACACGCTGCTCACGTGAGGTCTTTTTATAATCATATAACTCTATTCCAGTGGAACGAATGAAGTATCAGCGACTCCATCATCTGCGTGCCTTGGTCACCGTTCTGCTCGTATCGTTGCCCGACCAAAAAGCCACTTGGGAAGGCTGGGAATTCTTCCGAATTACAATTTACGCCTGTTCGTCGTCTTGTGCCGTAGGGACTACTAGTCTTTTGTCAGTCTAGAGGCTCAGCTGGTCATGCCTGACAGTTACGAGGCTGGCTCAAGACGACTCATGTGCTGTGGACACCCCCTTTGCATCGTCAGTGATCCACAACTTGCGCCATCGCGTCAGATGCGTCGATTTCCATCACCATATCCCTCACACGGCCCTCGAGCCTCAAAAATACCGGCCTGTCTGACCCATCAATAGTGAGACCACTTGTCCGACTTCCACCGGCTTAGAGAGTGAATGTGGCAATGTCTTATTCGCCAGGCATCGTCCTACCAAATGGTGTCGTCAAGTGATGCATTCGGGGCCGTTCTGGCCAGGTCTCGCATTAAAGGGTGGTACTCTCGACTTCTCATGAACCGACCACGTTTTACTAGCGGGTAGATCGTGCCTTCTCGCTGATGCTGTTTACGCACATAAGTGCAAAATCCGACAGAACTAACAAGCCGTGTGCAGCGTGAGAACCGGTTTCTGCTGATGCCCAAAATCTTGGTGCTGGCTTGGGCTCTACCACGCCGATCTCTCTATACCTTGAGTCAAGGCTTGAAGAGCGAAGCGATAGCTGGATAGCTGAAGAAATCAAGTACCTGTCTAAGATATACCGCAGCCTCACATGACACCTTCGCATCGACTTTGAGGCCCTTAGACCGTCTTCAAATCATTCAGATGTTTAAAACTGGGAAGACCAAGGGTAGTCGCCGCGAATCGAGTCTTCCTCCCTTCGAAGCCATCTTGGTTGCCAGTAAGAAAAGTCGAGAGAGTGCATTAAATAGGGGAAGTGTCACACGATATGGTTTTCGAAATGTAGAACGAGGAATGTCCGGCTACATATGTGACATTGCGTACATCTTTCCCATCGTCTCACTTATATCACCAGCAGACGGCTTCGCCAAGTGAAGCCATTCCCAACCAGGTTGTTTTGCTCCGCCGACGCCGCTGACAGCCTTTCATCCGCCAGACCTAGCTTTCTAGCAGACCCACGACCGGTGCTTCTTTGAGTTTACAGCTGACAGCCTTACATTTCGATGAGGTCGAAATCGACGGGGCCGCAGCCAATGTCTTCAGCATTTTGTGTACTACCTTGCCCCCCCTGCGTTCCCTGGTGCCGGAGCTGTGGGTCTTCCACGCCGGGGATTTGTCCGGCGAACCCCAGCACCTCACCACCTTAGTGCTTACGACTTTGGTACTTCGGTGCCATTGCCTGGCTTTTCAGATATTTCACGGTATTGACAATATGTGGCGCTCTTGATGCAAGATATGGTAAGCATCATTTATTATGTCATCTCCAAACATATCAATAGCATAGTTGCTTCGGAAAGTCGAACATAATTCTACCTTTGGCCAATAATTCTCAAATTATTCTCATCGTAGCGTGTGATCGATAAGTCTATCTCACACATATTTCGGCCGCAGACTATCTCATGTTTGCTTCTCAGGTTCATTGTTCGTTGTGGCGCAGCTATGAGGAAGCCTCTCTATTGCAAAAGATCCAAAACTCATTCCAGTGCTCCTCTACACTGTTCGATGCTGTGCATCAAGGGTACAGCTCATTACTGTGCGGAATGGCCATCCGCACGGTTGCTGTTAGCATAAAAGCAGCATGCTGCCGAATGCGAATTAGCTACGTAGGATCTTCAATCCTGGTTTGCGACTTTCCTCTTTCATGTTTTAACCCTTTTCAAGACACACAATTCTGCAGTTATTTTTTCGAAACTCAACGGCCATGAGTCTCACTGAAGAAATTGACCTGTGGTCACCTTTCACCAGCGACACTCTGTTGGAGGTTCGCACCAGCGTGATGAAGAAGATGCCCGGACTAGAGGTCACGTCCGGAATCGACAAGGATTTGAGGCATGGCCCCATTCACGTATCATATCTCGGACTCGATGCGGATGAGCATGATCCAACTTTCCATGGTGGACCGGATAAAGCGATACACGGTTGTGAGTACATTGTGATGCTGCTTCAGGCGTTCTGCCATCATGACGCAGTTCTGAAAGTTTAGTCCAGATTGCTCCTCTCACTATTCTGGTTGGAAGGCAGAGCATCCAATTGCAGCGGACAGATTCAGACCGGGAGCTTTTGGCGAAAACTTTGTCACTAGACACATGAATGAGCGCAACGTTTGCATTGGCGATGTTATCGCCGTTGGTGACGAAGTCATGCTCCAAGTCAGTTTGCCACGACAACCATGTTACAAGCTCAATCATCGTTTCCAGTTGAAGAACTTTGCGCCTACGACGTTCAAGTCTAGTAGGACTGGCTGGTATTATCGTGTTCTGAAAGAGGGAACAGTCAAGGCTGGCGACGAAATTAGGCTCGTCGAGCGCAAGTGGCCCAAGTGGACCATTGAGAGGGTTCAGGAGTACCTGCACCGGAACCAGACTGACGCGGCTATGAATGAGGAACTTGCGTCAATTGAAGACATGGGCAAGGAAAGTCGTGGCGCATTCCAGCGACGAGTGGCCAAGGCTAAAGCTCAAGTCAAGAGGGAAAAGGGGGACCAGTGGAGAGACTTCAAGATTATCGAAAAGACAAGACAAACCTCGAGAATCTCATCGTTTGTCCTCGAAGCCATCAACCCGATCGAGAACCCAGAATATCTCAACGAAGGGGCTCACGCAAAGCTCAAGCTCCCGAATGGCCTCCTTCGGTCTTACTCCGTCATCTCTGGGGACCGCAACAAGTTCGAGCTCGGCATTGCTCTCGAGGATAAGGGCCGTGGAGGATCCCTCTACATCCACAACTCTATGTCTGTAGGCGACATCCTTCAGGTTGGGCGAATGACAACCGATGTACAAGTTGCCAGTGCCTCAAGCAATCACGTCTTCATTGTGGGAGGTATCGGTATCACCGCCTTTTTGGTCCTTGCCGAGGCCTATCACGAAGTCCACTACAATTTCGAGATGCACTACGCCGTTCGCTCGGACGACGATATACCGTTTCGTTCTCGCTTGGATGCTCTTGGGAGTAGTGTTCGATTTTACGACCGTAGTAAAGACGAGAGGATGGATATCACCGAGATCATCAAAACGCTCAAGTGGAACAGCCACGTCTACGTTTGCGGACCTACGCGAATGACCGATGCTGTAAGGGTAGCCGCAGAGGATTGTGGTCTCGATGAGGGCGACGTACATTACGAAGCCTTCTCTGCCGACACATCGGGAGACCCATTTGAGGCAGAGGTTCTGAATCGAGGCGGCAAGATCCTGAAGGTGGGCGAGGAGGAGACGCTGCTGGAAGTACTTAAGCGGGAGATCGGGGGCGATGTGGAGAGTAGCTGCGAAGTCGGTAACTGTGGAACTTGCAAAGTTGCGCTTAAGAGCGGTCGAGTCGATCACAGAGGCACAGCTCTATCTGGCGACGACAAACTTGAGTCAATGCTGAGTTGCGTGAGTCGTGGTATTGGAAGAATAGCAATCGAGATTTGATTGACCACCAGTCTTAACACGCTCTCTGCTAGATTGCTACAGTAGATTCAACTTTACTTTGGTTTCAC